GTTGAAGTGTTTTGTTGATTTGTGTGACCTCCTTGGCAGCGAGTCTGCTGCCTGCCAGCTGTCAGAAACTGCGTAACATTATCCAAGATATTCCCCTGCATTTAGAGCAGAATGAGCAGCGCTCTCTTTTTTATTTCCCTCTAACCTGAGTCTCTGTATGGAGTGAGTGCTGTGGGTGAAAAATGATGCATCTTGACATTTGAATTTTAAAGACATATGGCAAAACTGGCTGCTTGGGCTTCAGTCTGCTGCTGCCTCAAGCTGCTCCAGCTATTGCATTTCAACAAGTAGTTTCAGCCCTCATTAGAGTGGTCCTCTAATATCCAGTGAGACTTTCCTCTCCGATGAAGCACAAAAATACAAGAGCTGCGTCCCTGGTGAATGTTGATGTCTGTTTACTGTCAGATATTCGCTGGGTACATTTAATACGTCTCCTATTATTTCAGCTTTCCTTCAATCCTTCTTTTTTTTTTTTTTTTTTTTTTGCCGCCTCTTTGTTCTGCTCTGTTTGCCATGTCCCCTAATTTAATAGTGAAAGCACTCTGACATAAAGAATCTGCTTTACAGTAGAATAAGGATGAGAGGTCTTGCCTGTAGTTGGTTCCCTCTGAATGAGGTTTGCTGCGTGACAGAGCAGCACAGTGATGTTTACATGACACGTGCCGCAGCGGCCGACCTGTCACTGCTTTACATTGCACACAACAAAGGGAGTAACTCTATAGTCTAATAACTCTCTGTGTATGATGGAGGGAGGATCAGCTGTGGAGGAATTTCAGCCGGGCTATTTTTACTCCGCACGGTGAGGCCGGTTGCTATGGTGTTGCCCATTAGCACCGTTGCTATGCTGGCATCTCGGTGCGGGGTGTGGCAGGGTGCGTGACGAGCGGCGCCATAGATCCACTTCACAGTGACTCATATCCTCAGAGCTCTGCTGCCCTATATCTGAGTATGAGTGCACACACCCACACACACACACACACACACACACACACACACACACACACACACACACACACACACACTGAGACATCTAACAATGCTGTGTGAGCAATAGAGAAATTATGATAAAAGAGAGTTGATGTGTTTCAGGATGAAACATACTGTGTGTGTGTGTGTGTGTGTGTGTGTGTGTGTGTGTGTGTGTGTGTGTGTGAGGTGTGTTGATCTGCCGGTTGTTGACGCGACTAAAAACTAATAATCAGCTGCTGGAAATTCAGCACCTTTACTCCTCTGCAGTGTTTTTTTCCCCCTTGACGTCTGTCCCCGCCGAGGCTTAGGAAACACCCAGAAGCCTTTGTATCTCGTGTTGTTAAATGAGGGAACGTGATACGCCGGCGCTGTGATTCCCTGCTCGCACCTTTTTATGTGAAGTTGCCTGCTGCGTGAAATGTTGGGCTGTTGAGGGGTTTGTGTTGACGGGGAGTGTCGTGTTGTTGGTGAGAACAGGAAGGTGTTGCCTGTGGAGCTGTGATTAAGTTAGATCGGAGGAGGAGGAGGAAAGTAGGTCATTGGGCCAGCAGGTCAGTGAAGCACGGATGACATCACAGTTATACAACCCCCGCTCTCCCGTTACACAACGCCGGCTCCGCGCTGCAGCTACTGCTGCATCCTCTGCTGAGACACTGCTGTCAGGAGCTAATTTCCCCCATCTTCTCTTATTATGCTCTCATTTCACTAAGATCTTTATGTAATTTTTTTTTGACTTCCTGTTTCTTTTTCCCTTTTTTTCAGCCTTGATCTTTGCTCCAGTTAGCTTGTTTTTGTCAGCTGTTTGAGATGAAGTGCAAAAGTTGTGTTGTTCAGCACGAAGTCTGTAGATAAAGCTTAATACTACGACTCTCCGCCCTTTATAGTGCCGCCACAAAGTGTAGCTGGCCGCTTGTGTTGACAAAACACTGATCTCAGATAAGACGCCTATTCTCTGTTACTTATTTGTGTGTCTCATGCAATGAGCAGTGAAATGACACTGCATAGCTCCAAGTCAGTGGGCCATGATGAAACCTGCTCCACTCACTGTCAGTTTTCCCGTGCGTGTCCTCACATGAAGGTGTAAATACTCACAGCGCTGACTTCCTGTCCTTGTTTTGATGAAACTGGCACTGAGTTCATTTTTAGATTTAGATTTATTGTGCAGGTACAAAGCCAATGAAATGTAGTTAGCATCTAACCAGACATGCAAAAATAGTTTTATTTACAGATAAGTGCAGGTTACTGCAGCATAAGTGATGCTGTATCTTACAAATATACAGAAACTATATATGTAAATGTTTTAGATTCGTATGTCCAGAGAAGTGGAGAGAGTTAGAGAAGAGAGAGTGTTGATGTAAGGTACAGTATGAACAGCACACGTACAGTTGGTTAAACGTACAGTAACATTAAGCCTCAACACAACAACAGTCGGTGCTGAACGGGATGTCGCTCACAGATCTCCTGTGTTGCTGCCATTAAATAGACTTTAAATTAAATAGCTTAAATGTGATCCGAGGTCAGGAGTTCATCTGAAACGGTTTCACCCTCAAAGTGGGTTTGATGCATTTCAGTCTAATAAGTTCATTATCTTTATGTATTATGGGGTTTTTTTCCTGCTGCCTATTGAAACAAATGTATTGCTTCTAAAGTTAGAACAGTTGTCTTAAGTGCTATCATGTGAAGCCGCCATTAAAATTACATCAAGGAACCCAGCTCCATTATCGTGCTGTGTTGCTTTGATACCAGTTATATGAGTAAGTGCAGCTGTATCGTGAACGTCGCTCACAATAACAGACCACATGAAAACTCTTTGTGACTAAATATGAGCGAATACACACTCACGAAGCTCTCACACAGGAAAAACTTTCAGTCAGATTAAAGGCGACGTATTTGACGTGACTGTAAATGTCAGTGTTTGTCACGATACATGAGGAGCAACGCTGAAGGGATTTTCTCGCCAACACAGATCAGCCATTGTGGTGAGAAAACCTCCCACACAGGTTGTGGAGGTAATTGGCTCATGCAAAAAAAAGAAAAAGAAAAATGGGTCAAATATTTAGGCTAGACACCCAGTGGGTCTTCTTAATTTAATTTGACGGTCTATTGTAGGCGTACCTGTGCAGCGGGAGGAGTGGAGTCAGGTGATGACGTGATGGGCTGAATCATCAGTGGCTGGTGTTTTGTTTTTGTTTTGATTTTATAAGATCTTTTATGAATCTGTCACATCCGCATTCAACGTGTCAAACATGACTCACATGGCGTCTCCTCGTCCTCGTACCAAGCTGCTCTTCATATCGCATCATTAAACTGTTTTCCTGCAGTTCAGGATCTTCGCGTGACTGAAGTCTGCCCACCACACTTAATAATGTTATTCCCAATTCATTGCAATTTTTCTTTTTTTTACCATTCCCTGATAATTTAGAGGAAACAGACGACCATTGTTGGCCGCTGTACCTCTGGCACACATGTCCGGCAGCTCCACTGTGATCAAGGCGAGACGGAGTGCTTTACAGAGGCGTGGAAATACATTAAAATAGAACATTAATATAGAATTTAAAAACAATAAAAACAAATAAATAATTAACTAAATAAAACTAAAAATATTTGAATAAGTCACACGCTTTTTAAAAGAAGTGCTGCAGCGAGAAAAGACATTAAAAACAAGCAAATGCACGAGATTAAAAAGTATGTACGTGAGGTTTTCGGCCCTGATTTAAATGAACTGACAGTGGCAGCAGATCTCAGGTGTTCAGGAAGCTTGTTCCACAGGTGAGGAGCAGAGACATTAAAACCTCCAGATGCTTCATATTGTGCAAGTAGAGCAGAGAGCTTTATAGACCAGAAGTAGGATTTTAAAATCTGTCCTTCGACACACAGGGAGCCAGCGCAGTGATTTTGAAGGAGCGGTGTGATGTGCTCCACTTTCTTGGTGTCAGTGAGGACTCTGGATGAGCTGCAGCTGAGACCTGTGAAGACACCATCACAATAGTCGAGTCTGCTGAGAATAAACACATTAATATGTTTATCTGTTTCCTGTTGAGACCGAAATCCAAGAGCACAAACCTGCTCCACCCAACCCTGAAGCTTACCTTTCTAGACCTGTCTTTACCTTAGTGCACTCGTTAACTAAAGGTGGTAATTAGACGGAAAAACATTTGACGTGCACCTTTTTCAGATGTAGCTAGAAAACCCGAGTCTGACTGCCGCAGCAGTTTGACTTCAGCCTGGCTGCTGAAGTGAAGGTCTGTCACGGTGCAGCAGGAGTCAGCTGGCCATCTGGGCCTGTAGGAGAGAGCAGGAGAGTGTGCATGTGAATAAAAAATATTCCGTGCAGTCTCCCATTTCACACTGTGCAGGCAGCTTTACATCTGAGCCCATCTTTGGTCGTCAGCCAACCTCAGTCTGGTACACTGCATTCTGCCTCTCGCATGCTGACGGGGACATGGTATATATTTATATATGTGTACAACACATAATAAAAGTATATATAAAATGATCTATCTGTAATGGTGCACTGTATTTCTTAAATAAACATGTCAAAATCAGATGCTAAATACATTTTATGCAAGAACTAGTTGATTCAGCTTAATTTAATACATTTTAATGGTAGTAACATGGTGTAGAAGTTGTGAGGGAGAGACGACGAGTCGTGTTACAGTGTAAACGTTCACTGATTGGCCCGTATGTGTCTGATGGGGCGGGATCACTTTTTAACTGGATGTTTTCCAGACTAAAATCTCATTGTAAAAACTGGACTAGCAGGATGTGGTCATGTCATGCCAGGCTCTCTCTCTGTTGTACCTGGTGTGAAATGTTTGATTGTAGATGAGTGATGATGGCAGAAATGCTGCAATCAACGCTCGATCACTCAGACTAAACATATCGTACGTGTTTATTTATTTATATAGGGCAAATTAACAGTAACATTACAAACTGAGATATCTCCAGGATCTGCACCTGTTAAGACGTGTCTGTTTTCTAATCTTCCACAGACTCAGATGTTGCTGCCATGTGCCACACTCACGCCCGAAGCAAACGAAAAACTCAGCTCAGCAAAGACCTTTTGGCAGCTTCCTCCCCTCTGATCGAGGACACCTCCAGCGACTCTCCTCCTCGACTCTCGGAGCTCCACCACCACAGCGTGTCCACTCAGACCCTGCCTTCATCCAGCAGCACCTCCCTCATCCTCTCACAGGACTGGCTGTACTGTCAGTAAGGTAAGATTTGGAGTTGAATTTAAACTGCTTTGAAAAAAAAATACTCTGTGGTGATGAAGCTGTGTTCATATCGTGACGCCTTCTCTCACAGGTTCAGTCACAAATGTCTACCTCACGATTAAAAGAGCCCTCTCCAACACTGCAACCCTGAACAGGATACAAAATGACCTCGAGCATTGACCGGTGAGTCGAATGTTTTTGACTTACCTGTTTCAGCAGCAGATGCGAGGCTGTTGGGGACACGCTGTCTAACTTCTGTGTTCAGGATTAGGAAGGACTCTCTGTCCATAAAAGTTTAAGGGGGAGCAAATATTAGCTTGAGCCGTTGGTTTGTTTGCTCTGCAGGGATGATAGCAGTATCTTTGATGGGTTAATGGAAGAAGATGAAAAGGACAAAGCAAAACGGTGAGACCCCTTTGGTTTCATCCTCCATCATATTTCAGTTTTTAGTTTTTATGAGGCTGCATTTCATATTTGTCACATGCAGACTGTCCCGTGCCTCCGTAGCCCCGGTTACATGCAGCTGCAGTTTATTGTAACTTTTATATTGATGCAAAAATGCTAATGTAACTTTCACCAGGTCTCAGGCGAAATAATGAAATTGAGAAAATGTGTGACCTGTTTTTTGAATCCTCAGCGTGTCCCGTAACAAGTCTGAGAAGAAGCGCAGAGACCAGTTCAATGTCCTCATCAAGGAGCTGGGTACCATGTTGCCGGGCAACACCCGGAAGATGGACAAGTCCACCATTTTGCAGAAGAGCATCGACTTTCTGCACAAACACAAGGGTAAGAACGTCCGACTGACCGGCTGCGGGGAAACAGTTCGGTGTCACGCGCTCTTCAGATCAAACTCACTGTTTCACGTTTCCTTCCTCAGAAATCGCTGCTCAGTCAGAGTCGACTGAGATCAGACAAGACTGGAAGCCTCCTTTTCTTAGTAATGAAGAGTTCACTCAGCTGATGTTGGAGGTGAGTCAGGAGCTCTGCTAAACTGGACGTCAGAAGTTTAGATACAAATGTGAGTGACTGACTGAGTGATAGAGATGAATCATGCAGTTACACTACTGGTCGGCCGACTGATTGTTGGAGTTTCCTCATTGGCTGCTCTCTCAAAACTTTTAGCACAAAGCTTTTAAACAGTTTCTAACTTCTATTAAATCACTTCTTAAAACTCATTTTTATGGACTTGCTTTTATGTGATGTCGTCATCTGCATCTGCTCCTTATAACTCCTTTTTATATTGATGAATATATGTTCACGTACGAATGTCTCTCCCGATTTTGACCATCGTTGCTTTTGATTCGTTTGTCAAAACACTTTGTAAACTAGTAAAAAGGTGCTATATAATAGTTATTATTATTACAGCTGCAGTGTTGCCAACTGAGAACATTTGTCACTGAATTCAGAGACTAATCTAGTGACTTTTTTAGACAAACGTCAGCTACTTCCATTAGAAGAGAGTCTCTGTATCTGGTCTGTTCAGTGAGCGGCAGTTTGTTACGGAGGCTGTTCGCTGCGTAAATAAGAAAGAAAATCTATAATCTGTAATAAGATGTGATGACATCTCCACAGCTGCACGGTCCAGCCACGCAGTTTTGATTTAGTCTTGTCACATGTCATTTGTTTTTATTTACATGGAAGAATATGAGTGAATTAAAGGAGTGTGTTTTGTCTCTGACAGGCGTTAGATGGATTTTTCCTCGCCATTATGACCGATGGGAATATAATCTACGTGTCTGAGAGTGTGACGTCTCTACTAGAGCACTTACCTGTGAGTATTAAGGTGCTCAAGTTCTGAATTAATGAAAATGTAAAGAGTCCAGTGAACTTTTCATCAGTTTGCATCCACCGGCTGGCTCCTGTTTAAAGATTACAGCTGGTCTGATACTGTTTTGTGTTAAATGTTGTGTGTTTCAGTCTGATCTTGTTGATCAGAACCTGTTGAACTTCCTGCCCGTGGGGGAGCATTCAGATGTGTACAAGGCTCTGTCCTCTCATATCATGGAGGGAGAGACGCTGACACCCGAATATCTGAAAAGTAAGTGCTGCAGCTTTTAGGTTGAAATATTTTAGAGGTATATTCGCATTTTCATTAGTGTTATTATTGCACTCTTTTAGACTGTGGTCTTTTTAACACTCGATCTTTTTCTCCAGCAAAAAATCAGCTAGAGTTCTGTTGCCACATGCTCCGAGGGACTATCGACCCCAAAGAGCCCCCAGTGTACGAATACGTCAAGTTCATTGGAAACTTCAAGTCCCTGAATAATGGTGAGTCACACTGAAAGACTGTCTGAGCCTCCAGGTCAGTTTTTACTGGTTGCAAGGTCTGACTTCTTTTTTTGTGTGTTTCTCTTCTCCCCAGTGCCTAACTGTGGCCGCAACGGCTTCGAAGGAGTGATCCAGCGATCGCTTCACTCTGCCTTTGAAGACAGAGTGTGTCTCATAGCAACTGTGAGGCTAGCCAAACCACAGTTCATCAAGGTGAGAGTCATTAGCTGTTCTTCCCCTTCTCTCTTCTCCTTTTTATCTGGTTGACACACATTTGGTTTCGAGCTTGCAGGGTTGGAATAAGGTAGTTTTAATTAGGACAGGGCGCAACAGCAAAAGTTGCCAAGTCACTGCAGGAAAACAACATTCGGACTCATGACAACCACCGTGTGCCACTTGTGTTTAATTTGAAAAACAAAAATGACTTAATGTTCTTGTCTCTTGCCAACGAATCTTTCTACCAGCCGAGTTTAAAGGAACAGTTCAGGTGTTTTGACGTGGGGTTGTGTGAGGTCGTATATAGTCGGTACTTTACCTGCAGTAGATTATGATGGGCGTGGTCCCAGTTTGGAAAGCCTGCAAGCGTGTCAGAGTGATGTGTTGCTGTGGGCGGGGCCACCAGAAAAAACGTATTTTGAACGCTTTTAAAAACACTCACCTAAACAATCCAACATCTGTTTAAATGAAGCTTCATGTAGAATATTTTCAGCTCTTTGTCTTCCCATGAAAGCAGCACTTTCTTTTGGCACTATATTTTTTTTCGACCTGTCTGAACTACCGTATTCCCACGCACAAGTGCACCTACGGAGCGCGCTGTATCACGCCGCAGCTGCAGGTCAGCTGAGTGAATCAGTCGCCTGAGGAGGAGTTGCTCCTCTGTGTTTCCTAACGTGTCGCACTGTAACGCACAAGCATCACAGTCATCAAATGCGCGTTGTCAAAAACAATGTCTGAGACTATTAACTGAGTCGATCTGAATACACTTCAGTCGATCTGTTCCTATGGAAACACCAGCCAGTTGAGCATCTGTGTGACTGAAGCTCCTCCCATCCCTGTCCCACTAATGAATCCTCTTTCAAAGTCACTTAGATCTTTTCCTCCTGATACTAAATCAGAATCGGCTGCGCCTGTTCAGCGTTTTTATGTCTCCATGACGACGACAGATGTGGCCGGAGGCATTAGTTTTTCCGGTTGTCCATCGAACGGGTTGTCCGTTAACACAAATGTTTAATAGGATTAGTAGTGTGACCACGTTTCCTGCGACCGGAGGCGATAATTCTAGTCACACATGGCGCACGACATGTTAACTGCTTAACTGTGCCATGTTCGTGTGGGGAAGCATCTGCATTTGTTTTTGTTTCTCCACTCAGGTTATATCAAACTGTATGTAATATAGAAAATGTCTAAATACATTCTACACCCCCCCCCCGTCCCCCCCGTCCCCCACAGGAGATGTGCACTGTAGACGAGCCCAACGAGGAGTTCACCTCCAGACATAGTTTAGAGTGGAAATTTCTCTTCTTGGACCACAGGTACAGTTTTTCTCTATTTGCTCTCTGTGTGTTTTTCATTGTGTAAAAACTTGTTTATTTATTACATTATTACAGACGCTTTAACAGCCGATCTGTTTGGTTCAGATTAAATTCAGTCAAAACAACCAGATCAAAACCACCTGAAAAACAAAGGTGTAGCTCTGCCTCATTTACACTCTGGTGTGGTTCATTACTGGTGTGAAAGCAAAATGTTGCACCTACATGACTGTGTGAGAGTAGATATGTGATTCAACTACTATAAAGAACAGTAAAGTGCAGCATTAGATCTCCCCACGTGGGTCCATGTGTAACTGATGATGCAGGGTGACATCACCAGAACTGTCCAATCAGTGAGAGTAAGCTGAAAGTCTGCAACGTCACGTTTACAATCCAGTGTGAACAAGAAGCTGAGCGCCTGGACCGAATGAACCACACGACGAGTGTACAAACAAAAACCAATGTGTACGTCACTTCCTGCACATGAACTGGACTTTATAAACACAGAACGTGACGCCTCACATGTTCCTTTGACCATGTGAACACACGGTCTCCCAAAGAGATCCATGTTACATCATCATTATAAGTTTTGCTGTTTACACAGAAATAACATTTTTACATTTCATAAACAGAAATGATTGTGTTTGTTCTCAATGTTTCCTTTAATGTCCTTTTTATTTATTGTGAGTCATTTTTTAACAGTTTTATAGTATTTTAATATTGACTAATCACCGTGCTGGAGCCTCTGGAGCTTCGTTAAGACTTTACATTAGAGCGATTGTACTAAAGTAAACTGATGCACCTTTTTACTTCACTTAAACAATTGGTTGCCCAGTTTCTCAATGAGTGAGATTTACAAAGCTGAACCATGTGAACGCACAGCTTTATAATTCAGACAAAAAGAATGTGTGCGACACATAGTTTTAATCTCTTTAGTCTACAGAGAGTTTAATGCATCTGGTCTGTAGGCCGCAAGAATTTCTCAAAGCTTAACACGTGACACAGAGGCTCCAACAGTGTGACTTACTTTAGGCTGGAAACTTAATGCTGATTAGCCCCTACATGGTAATGTGTGAGTGTGACTCGGTGTGTGTACGTTAACGGGAGAAGAAAGTTTCCAGATCTCAATAACATTTACTGTTCGTCCAGAGCTCCGCCCATCATAGGGTACCTCCCATTCGAGGTGCTGGGTACGTCGGGGTATGACTACTACCACGTCGATGACCTGGAGACGCTGGCAAAATGCCACGAACACTGTGAGTACGACGAAGCGAGCTGGTCTGCAGTTCTCTGTCAGTTTCTCTGTGAGGTTTCAAACAGTAAATGTCAGTGCGTCCTCCTCCTCCTGGTTTCTCTGCAGTGATGCAGTACGGCAAAGGAAAGTCCTGCTACTACAGATTCCTCACTAAAGGGCAGCAGTGGATTTGGCTTCAGACCCACTACTACATCACCTACCACCAGTGGAACTCCAGACCAGAGTTTATCGTCTGCACACACACTGTTGTGAGGTACATGGAAGATTTACACTCTGATATTTACAGTTTGACAAAGACAGACTTTGACTGTGTCTTCGATCTAACAAACAGTCAGACTTCAGACAGACTGAGTCTAAATTCATCCCCTGCACAAAGCAGTTCCCTGTAGATAAAAAAAAGTGGGTTTTAGATACATGTAGATGTATATTTTTCTCTGTCTTTGCTCTGTAGTTACGCTGAAGTACGAGCAGAGCAGCGAAGAGAACTTGGGATTGAAGTATCACCACCTGAGATCACACCAGACAAGGTGAGACTTGGACTTAGTGTTTCTGATGGTTCAGTTTTCCCACTGACTCTGATACTGACTCTGTCGACTCTCTACCCCAACTCGCAGCAGTCCCAGGATTCAGGCTCCGAGTCCCAGCTCAACACCTCCAGTCTGAAGGAGGTTTTAGATCGCTTCGACCACAGCCGGACGCCCTCGGTCTCGTCTCGCAGCTCACGCAAATCGTCACACACCGCCGTGTCCGACCCGGCCTGTAAGCACCGTTGACACACGGCTGTTTGTTTATTATCAAGACATCTCATGAGTGACACACACATCTTTATATTAAGTGTTCTTCCTGTTAAAAATCTGAGCACCATGTTTATGTGTTCCCCTCAGCGTCACAGATGAAGCTGCAGGGAGATAGGAGTACGCCGGGTCGCCAGTCGGTCTCCGCTGTGGAGATGACGTCACAGCGAAGATCATCTATCAACAGTCAGGTCAGTGAAGGGACAAGAACAGTCTGGTGTAAAATTTCAGAATAATTGTGTCATGGATCGTCAGGGATTTAACGGGATAAAGGGAGTTGAAGCGCCCTGAACTCTCAATTCACTCTCTGTATTGTTTCCAGCAGCAGTCGATGAGCTCCCAAAACACAGGACAGAACATGACTCCCACCATGGTTTCTCAGCAGCTGCAGCCTCAACAGCAACAACAAGTTCAGAACAGCGGACAAGTAAGAAAATGATCTTGTTTGTTTTAATCCTAATTTATGTCTCATATTAAGAGACAGCTATTTGTTCACCCCACATCTTCCTGATTCTGTCTGTGTGTCTGTCCCGGACGAGGGGAAAACCACACACGAGTTATAACGAGCAATAAGTTTATTTGTTTTTAAAACTGAAAAGGAAATTAATTTAATGACAAACAAACCAACAACAAAACCAAGTAGCACAGCCAGACCAGGTGAGCTGAATCTCCATGACGACCAAACTCCACCCTCCAGGCTCCTGCTCAGAGAGGGTCGTCACAGAGCCTCATCACTGGATTTATTCTTTAACATAATTCTAATAAAGTTTTCCATGTTAACATTAATAATAATAAAAACAGTTGTGGAGTTGTGTCTTGAACTCATTCGATAACTGAAAACATTTTTACAACAAACAAAACGTGACAGTAAAGTTTTTAAGTAGAGCTGCAGCGATTAGTCGATTAATCATTTAGAAAATAAAAAGCAACATAATCGATTCATTTTACCTTTTTTTAGACATTTTTATAGTAAATGCCAAAACTTTCTGGTTGTAGCTTCTCATTTTGAACATTCACTGATTGTTGTGTGTTACATTCCCTCTAAAATAGTCAGGGATCGAGGGAAGAAACAACCGGGCAAAAAGAAGGAAAACACAGGAAACATGCAAACAGACGGACAAGATTTTATTGTATTGTATATGTGTTGATAGAAGAAACTATGAAGTTTTGATTCGTCATTTTAAATTATTTTCTTACATTTTATCAATCAGAAAAATAAACGGCAGATTAATCAATAATGAAAATAAAATGTTGTCGCAGCCCTATTGATTAATGCAGAAAACCATTAATTATCTAGTGTAGACACAATGTGCTTAAACTAATATCACACTAATAATTATGGTCTCTTATTGATCACACTGTGTATCGTTTACAGACGCTCAGGTCGAGCAGTATGATGCTTTTCGATCATGTGTTTGTCGATCAGTGTTTTTGATCTGAACTCACAAACATTCATATAAATGTGTAAGACGTGATTTCTTACAGGCAAATATGGCGTAGCCGAAGTAATATATGATTTTGTTAAATACTGTATATAATCTGCATTGTAACATTTTAGATTGACAACTTTCAGTCTACGTCAGACCTTGAACGCATCACTGAAACACTCTTTTTACCACTTCTTTGTCTCATGCACTGAATATAATTATTCACTAGTAACATTTTGCTTCCTGTCGTGTTTCCGTGTCGTTGTTCTCTCTCAGTCGATGGTGCAGTTCTCCAACCAGTTAGAGGCCATGCAGCACCTGAAGGATCAGCTGGAGCAGAGGACCAGGATGATCGAGGCCAACATCCAGCGGCAGCAGGACGAGCTGCGGCAGATCCAGGAGGAGCTGCAGAGGGTGCAGGGCCAGAGCCTGCAGGTGAGAGCGGGGAGCTGCTCAGGAGTGTGTGTGTGTGTGTGCGTGTGTGTGTGTGTGTGTGTGTGGCGCTGTTCAGACCTGGTATTAACATCCGTCTCAGGTGATCCACTCTCTCTCTCACTCGCTCTCTCACTCAAACACACAAGCACATTGACAACGGACCCGTCTGTTGATTGGCTAAGAACAACAAAGCATACCTGTTTATTTGCGTATAAAGCAGGAAGTGAGATCTGATCATAAGTGGTCAATGGAGACGAAGGGGTGAACTGACCACTTGTGATCGGATCACTGAAGACATGTTAATACAGGTGTGAACAGAGCCTGAGTGTGGTGAACAGGTGAACATGCAGCCCTGTGAATGTATGAACGTCTGCTTGTGTTTCAGATGTTCTTGCAGAAAGGAGCTGGAGGACTGAATCTCAGCTCTGTTCAGATGGCCCAGGGGAACGCGATGCAGCAGGGGGGGACGCTCAGCATGCAGGGCCAGGTGGTCTCTGCAGGACCTCTGCAGAACAACATACAGCAACAACATGCCGTCCAGCCCCAGCCCCAGCAACAAACACTGCTGCGGGAACAGAGCACAGCACTGTCACAGGTCAGACAAGCGAACGCATCAAACACAGACACTCTCTGACACGTTGGATTCATTAGGTTTGTTACAGATTCTCTCCGGTCTGTTTCACATCTCGTCTCTGTGTGTTTCAGTCTCAGCGATCGTCTCTCACTCTGCAGCCTCAACAAAATCCAATGCCGGTGTCTCTCTACAACACAATGATGATTCCCCAGCAAAGCCCTGCTAACGTGGTCCAGATTGCCACCACCCTGGCGCAGAACACTGGACCCAACACTCCTGCAGTGGCAACGTTTGCACAGGACCGTGGCGCTCAGATTAGGTTTGCATTTTCTTTAAAACCTCCTAACTTTATTCTCATAGTTGCATTTTATTTCTTCACACAAGGTGGATTTCTTATTCTGTAACACAAGGTCAAGAATTTCTACAAGAGAAATCCCCTAACCTTATTTCTTCTTCTATCACCTCTACCTGACCCTCGCTCACTTCCTGTCTCTCCCAGGTTTCCTGCTGGTCCTCAGCTGCTCACCAAGCTAGTGACAGGACAGATGGCATGTGGGGCAGTCATGGTGCCCACGACCATGTTTATGGGCCAAGTGGTGACGGCCTTCGCTCCTCAGCAGGGCCAGACTCAGACCATCAGCATTTCCCAGCAGCCACAACAACAACAACAACAACAACAACAACAACAGCAGCAGCAGCAGCAGCAGCAGCAGCAGCAGCAGCAACAGCAACAACAACAACAACAACAACAACAACAGCAGCAACAACAACAGCAACAACAACAGCAGCAGGAGCAGCAGGCACAGTCACAGGTCACAGCCATGCAGTCAGGGCAGGCTCCCCTCGCCCCGCAGCAAACACAGTTCCTACAGGTAACACTCACTGAAATCAAGGCTTATGGCGGGAACACACTGCCTGCGTTGCATGTGCGTGGCGCCTGCGTTGCGTGTGCGTGGTACCTACGTCGCTGCTGCTGCTACCAGCTCTACATTTCTACATAGAGTTGGCCTTGGATAATTTCCATCACCAGGCTACTGCAATGTTGGATTTCTTTTCATTATGAATAAATTTCTGATTTATGTCACTAAAATGCCGCCGTCTCCACATGCAGCTGCTAAAATGGTTAAAAATTATATTTATATTTTTAAGCCTCTGTGCCAGCGACAGTCAGAGTCGCAGGAATATTGTTTTCACGCTCCGTCTGTCTGTCCCATTCTTGACTACGCGATATCTCAGTAACGCCTTGATGACACTTAGACTCAGAGATGAACTGATTAGATTTTGGTGGTCAAAGGTCAAAAGTTCAACGTCACAAATTCATTCTTTCACTAATTATGACACAATTAAACTCAAATGTCTAGGATAAAATGACGTGATGACATTTTATATCCCAAAGGTCAAGGCCATTATTTAACACTGTAACTCAGGAGCAGAAGGAGAGACTGTACCTTGGCTGGTTGGTGGAGTTGATTCTACTTTCATGTCTGTGTCATATTCAGATTCAGACCAGACATAGAGACTATAATGGAAGGTGTCCATTTTGTATAATGTTGCTGGTGTGATGTCAGTATGACATCAACAGGTCTTCTCTCTGACTCTGGGAGCTGCACGAGTGACCCGTGAAAAGACGCCGAATCTCTAGATCACACATAGTGACGGCTTTAACCCATTAACATGGGCGCGGAAATGAAAACCATCCAACCAACGTTTCGCTGCCACGACGCACACACCACGCATCCACTGTGTTCCCGGCCTTAGAGTGTGCTAGGTAACTTTACACTTTGACTGTGTTCAAATGACAGTGAGAGGTAACTTCAATAAAATGATGGACTGTTTACTGTTGTAGTCGAGACACTAAACCATGAGTCCAAGTGAAGTTTGAGTCCAGGACTCGTACAACACCACAGTGGACGTTTCACAGTGTGAAAATCAACTGGTCAGTCACCTGTGTAATGGTGACACTAAATTAACTCCAGCCTAGTAGAAGCTCAGTGCTGCAGTTTGTTGTTTGTTATCAGCTGACGTACTGTATACACTGCTACTGATATATCTGCAATAAGCTAATATACATTAACTCTAATAGATGGATTAGTGTTCCTTCAAATGGCCGTACGTTTTCAAGGTTTTCATTTGCAGTCGCAGTCACTCGAGGGTAATATAAAGATGTCATCGTGAATCCTGTTGCTTTGTATAGTTTTAAGTCAAATCTGGACTCTGGACAATTTCATTTTCATCCTAAAATCTGAATCTTTCCCTGAAGGCTCCTCGGCTTCTTCATGGAAACCAGTCCACCCAGTTGATCCTGCAGGCAGCGTTCCCTCTGCAGCAGCAGGGTGCTTTCACTGCCACGGCCCAACAGCAGCAGCAACAGTTACAACAGCAGCAGCATCAACATCATCAACAGCAGCAACAACAGAAGCAGTTACAGCAGCAGAAACAGCAGCTTCAGCAGCAGCAGCTGGCTCCTCTCAGAGCAGACAGTTTGTCTGACCGCTCCTCCTCGCAGCCACAGTAGCTGACTGCAGCCAGTCACAGGCGGAAAGAACCTAACCCAGGTGTGGGTGTTTTTTGTGACGGGGGTCTGAAGAGGAGTTCAGCATTGAAACGATGCCTCAGAGGCTCAGAAGTGAGTGGGGAGGTGGGGTGGGGGGGGGGCGTGGCTTCCCTCCCCCCACAGGATCTTTTGCCGTTTGCACTGAACTCCTGAGCACAAAGTGCTGCAGAGAGCCCAGCACCGGGCTCGCTGTGGGCCCGGCAGTCGGCTCTGGTTCTGGGTCAAAGCCTTTTCTTCAAAAAAACAGGGAGCTACGGTCCCTGTAAAGGACCCCCCCCATACCCCTCCCCCAGCCCTCTCCTTGTGTGTTTAGTGTGTGCGCCTGTGTGTATGCGTGTGTGTGTGTGTGTGCGCGTGTGTGCGCTCTAGTCACCCTCACAGGATTATTTTATGCAGAGCTCTCCAGTGAACGCAGTGAAGCTTCTGTCGGAGCTTCAGGGACGTCCTGCAGAGCTCGTTGTTCTGGATGTCGTCTCCTATCCTTGTTTTTCATGTAAAAATAATTATGGGTCAGAAAATATTTTTAAGAATGTGGTGTAGATTGAACTTTTACTGTACAGAACATCATGTGTAATATATAATGTAAATATACTGAAAAAGAAAGAACTAATATTTTATATGATGCATGAAATGAAATGTGTAGTCTGTTATTTGCAGCTTTGAATTTTCTTTTTTTCTAGTACTCTAAGAAAAAAAGATCTTAAAATGCTCAGTGGCTGATATTTTCACAGACTTCCTTTCTCCTAGGGGATGTGTTTGTGTGTCTGCATAGCAGACAATGTCGATGCTGCTTGTTGTGTCACAGTTTGTTTAATCCTTGACCCATATTTTCATAAAACTGTCAGAATGAAAGACATGTTTTAAAGTATTTTTAAGCTTTTTAAGATGTGCTCAAATCTGCCACTAAAGACTCTAAATTCAGCTGGAGTCACATATTGTGAATGAAATAAATACGACCAAGGTTAAACTAAACCAATGCAACAGTTTGCCAGCATAATCCTTCATATACATATTTGTGTATTTCTAGCACTTCTGCTGAGACGCCTGCGTTGCATCTGAAGACACTTTCTTCCTTATATAGACATTTATCCCTTGACATATTGACATTTTACAAGACATAAAATCAGTCCTGTTGCTAATACACTCAGGCTGAACTTGAGCGACATGATTGGTGCTAGAATAGGGCTAATCAGTGATTTCCTCATCTGCATGCTTCGGCCATTTATCTGGGTCAGCGGGGTTCACACAGCAGCCCTGGCGGCGTCCTCCACTCACCCCTGCGCCATCAGTGAGACGGCCCCAGATCACCTGCACAGGTCCGCTCACATCTCTGAGCTCCTCACACTGTCAGGAGGAGAGAGAGTCCAGTCCTCCTCCGGAGGCCTCATTTATTCTCCTTACAACAGCAACAGTTCTCATCTGCTCTCTGGTTCTGTCATGCTTTGATGAAGCAGTCGCACTTTTTAAGTTAATTCATCTGAAGCTCAGTTCACTCACTGTCACTTAAAGCTGCAGTTACCTCTCCAGGGGCAAAACAACACTGATATATTATGACTTTAAGTAAGTCGAGTGAACTCATCCACTAGACTGACTTCAGTCGCGTCTCTGGGCCCCTGATGAATGTAAATCCACTGTTCAGTCTCTTTTTAGCTCCGTTTTTGGTCTCCACCAACTCCTGAGGGAAATACCAATAGATTAAACTTTATTATTCGCTTATTTATTACTCTACGGCCAATTTGACTCTCAGCTGCCGAGCTGCGCAGTACCAGTGCATTTAACCATCAGTGTTTTCAGCATAAACATCAGGAAAATGGGAAATGTTGTTTTTGGAAAACCAAAACAATCAGCTGAAAGTTGCTAAAATGAGGGAGCAGCACTGACTCATTCAGTTTTATTTGTTTAGCGCTAAATCAGAAGTGCTGCAGCGTTGAGCAGTCACAACAGAGCCCGTCTTAAACTGGAGGTTCATGTTTCCATGAGCTGTGGTTATCAGTCGCTGGGATGCCCCTCACTCACTCTGTGCTGTCTGAACATGGGGACCACCCTCCTGTCTGCTGAATGAAAGTCCTTGTTCTCAAACTCATGATGACGCTCGGGTTCAGCTGCCTCCTCGCCATCTGATCCAGTTCACCAGCAGATGGTATGAAGCTGACGGCTCGGCCCGTTCTTCATCTGAGCTCGGCACGTGGCCACCGGGCCTGAGGAGTCTGGTGACTCCATGTGCACCTAGAGTGTCCATGTCCATGTGTGAATGTTGTGTTGATCGTGGGGAATCCCCCGTGTTTGCACGACAACATGAGTTTATTTAAATCTGCTTTTTTGAATTCTGTCTTTTCTTCTGCAGAGATCTTGACTCGTCTCGGTTGTTTTCAATCATAAATCAATCTCATCTCACAGCCTCAATCTGAAGCACTGAACGAGTCAAACATTACTTGTCCACTCTGCAGACTGAGAGTGGTCGTGTTTGGTTTAAGCCTGGCCTTGAGCAGCAATGGAAAAATGCTAATAATAACTCTCATTTGTGGCTTACTGCTCGGGGATACAGTGCTGGACCCAGAGGTTGGTGTGTCTAACAGGTTAAAGTGGCTCAGCCAGAGAAGAAACCAGCTCATGTAACAGCTGCTGTTTTGACTGATGTGATCTGGAGACCAGCTCAGTTTGACTGTTTGCTTTTGATAAGATCTTCTACCCTCAGTTACCACCTTGGCATTAAGATGCTTCAGTTTAACCCTCCAGTTGTCATAAGTTTAAATTCATGAATTCTCATTTACATGTTGCTAGCATCATATTCATTTAACTGGTCTTTGTTTAAAGCTCCACATTTTCTTCTTCTGTGTTTTATTTGAAGTGTTGATCCATCAGAAGATATAAAAACCATCTCAGTGTAGTTTTACATCTCCTCTCTCAGGCTTCTCTCTGGAGCTCTAGTAACAACAGGTCGGTGAGCCAATCAGAAGAGAGGAGGCTCTGAGCCTCTCTTCTCATTGGCTCACATTGGCTTCTGAGTGATCCTATAAAAATATAGCAGATTTCCAGAAGTTCCAGAAGTCCTGACGGCTGGTTTTAAGGCTCAGGTTCTGAATACAGGCTGTGTGCATTTCTCTGTGGACTGAGGCTTTGATACTTTCACAGTATTAATATAGAAGCTAGACCTGATCTATAATCACACTACACATGGACACAGACCTTTACACTGGAGGAGCTTTAAGTAGACGCCATGTTGTCACTTCATGTCTGACCCATGAGGAGTGTGTGGTTCCCTCTGGAGCTGTTGTGGTTATAGTTAGCCACATGCTACAATCAGTATCAGTGTTATGTTTGAGTGAGTATGAACACTTGAATCATTCATTTACTCATCAATTTTTAAAACTTCATTTAAGATGTGTGAGGAACTGAGTATCTTCTTCCTCAGGGTTATTGATTTTTGATTTGGACCCTTCGTTATTTCTCAACACAAACCTGATTTCAAACATTAAGCAGCAGCAGCAGCAGCTGTGTCATGTTTTAGATTCACCCACTGCACTCACTGTATGATGCCTTCAGCTTTACCATGAGTTACATTATAATTCAGGACATAGTGAAGCCGACTGTTCTGGTGAAATTAGGTTCTTTAGAGAGATAATGTTCAGTCTCTACAAGAACTATAATAATCCACATCTCCTGTGACTGTTTACAATTATTCAGTTATTTCTTTCATAGTCCCTGATACTTGCTCTCTGCTGTCTTGTTTCTGTGCTACATGAATCTATTCAGAGTGTAGTTTGACCTCATGGTTTGAACCGTCTACACATCACTTCTGTATCCCTCCCCTGTCTTGAGTTGTGATGCTGCAACACATATCAGTGTTTGAAAAATAAGACACACAACAGTTTCCTGCTGATCACGTCCCGTGTTTCACAGACCTGAACAGGTGACGTGGTCTTCTGCTGGTGCTGCATTCAAGGAGCACTGTGGAGTGCGATTTATAAGTGATGCAATAAACCTGAAAGAATGTAATTAAATTTCATTACCAGGAGTATTTTGCATTAGGAGTTGTAGGGCCGTGCGAGACTTTGCACAATGTACAAAAGGACAAAGAGTAAAGAAGAGAACTGAATTATTTTTCTGTCAAACGCAGCGGCACTGATTTTAAATCAAACATGAAATTAAAGATGGATGTCAAGTTAGAAATCACGACTTTAACGCCAAAGGATCTAAACCAACTGTGACATACACACAACGACTGTTGAACCTTTGTCCCTCAGAACGAGCTGGTCACTTGTGAGTTTATGGTTCTGCAAAGACTCTGGTGTCAGATTTAAGTTTGATTCTCTGTGTTCATATTGAATCTTTACCGGCCAGTCAAGTTGTGTCGCTTCAAGCTGGAAATGGTTGAAATTGGCACGTTTCAAAACAGAAAGCAGTTTTCAATTTAAATACAAAATACACAACGTTCAAGGTTTTGGCCTTTTAAGTTATTGTTAGTTGGTTGTTAAAGACATGAGGGAAAATGTTTTGTTATCCAAAGAGAGGGAGAATCGAGGAGGCGAGCCTGAAATGAAAGGACACAGTGCATTGTGTTAAATGTTGTGTAGTTCTGATGTACACACTAGAAAATCTGAATGTCCATCAGTGTTTTCTCTCCACTTTCATATTTGTGTGGCGTTTGTGTTTGGCTCAGGAAATCCACCGCTGCAGTCCACTCCTGCACAGAAACACCTGTCCTTATTATCAAAGGGTTAATCCACTCTAAATCCTGTCACGCCCCAATCAGTGATGGCCAACACCTGCTGTGACATCACTGAATCAGGTGACACCGAGTAGTGCTTCAAAGTTCTGGTGCCACTTTCTAATAAAGGTTAATCAGGTTAATCAGTTGTAAAAGACAAAAATATATTTATTTACAACATATTAACCATATTAATAGTTATGGATTAAACACTGTCATTAATCACTTATTATATCAGTGGTTACCAACATTTATAGTTATATTATTACCAAAATGAAATTTTATTCTATTTTTTTAAACAACCTGGAACGCACAAATGATTATCACTAATTAATATGTTGGTTTATTAAATGCCAGAGACTTATTATTTCCCAGAACTCAAGTTAACTTCTTCTTATATCTTGTTTTATCTGATCAAAACTCTAAAATATTCATTTTACACTGATGAGAGAATCAACAAATCTTCATATCTGAGATTAACATTTAGGATGAATCAATTATCAATGAAGTGGTTACCAATTTCTTAATCTATAAAGCGTTAATAAAGCTATTACTTTATACCTTCTTTGCAATGGATGCCTTATTAGAAAGTGGTAACTATGTCTTAGTGACTACGCAGTACATAAACATTTCATACACAGTTTGTACTGTTACACACCATCTGTGGTTGTAAGTGTTTATTAATGTATTTGTCCTCCATGGTTGGAGGTTAGTTTATAAATCGATAAATAACAATAGAGTAAAACACTGAGGTAATAATAAATATATCTTCATAGGAAACTTAGGAAACTAATAATGAATAATGAATACTGTACATTAATAAACACTTAACCACATTATAAACCATTTGTTTGTGTACTGTTATAATTAAAAACACTTTTTAAATATATTTTTGTAAACACAATAATAACTGAGTTTCTGTCCC